AGAGAAATACCAACAGGTTAACTAAAATAGGAAAATAATCTAATTCAATTTTTCTTACTAATATCATAATTAATATAAATCAAATTACTGTTGAAATACCATGTTAACTAAAATAGGAAAGTCAATCTAATTTTATTTTATTTAAATCATAACTAATATAAACCTTAAGTGAGAACAGTAAGATTAAAAATAGGACAAAAAAGATGAACTCTTTCAAAGTCATTTAATGCTAAAAAAATTATAGCTCTTTGGAATTTGAGGGAAAATACTATTTATTACATGATACAATAATAATGATTTTTTTAAGACATAGTGTTTTAGTATATTGTCCAAACTGTTCATGAACTCCTGGATTCAAGTGATTCACTCATCTCCATCTTTCTAGCAGCAAGGATTACAGGTATGCAACACTGTGCTTGGCTAAGAAACCCAATTTTTCAAATGGGAAAGGGTTTGACTGGGTATTCCCCCCCCCAAAAAAAAATATACAAAAAGGCTAATAAGCAAATGAAAAGATGCTCAATCTCACTAGTCATCAGGGAAATGCAAATCAAAACTACATTGATTTTCATAAATCCACACCCACTAGATTATAATTGAAAAGATAAATTGGTAGAGTACATGCTTAGCATACATGAGGCCCTTTTTTCAATCATACATACACACACACACAAAAAAAAACAGAGGCCCAGCACCACGCCTATAATCCCAGAAGCTTGGGAGGCTGAGACAAGAGGATCATGAGTTCAAAGCCAGCCTCAGCAAAAACAAGGTGCTAAGCAACTCAGTGAGACCCTGTCTCTAAATAAAAATACAAAATAGGGCTGGGGATGTGGCTCAATGGTCAAGTGCCCCTGAGTTCCATCCCTGGTACTCCCCCCTCAAAAAAAAAAAAGAGAAAAGAAAGAAGAAACATGATAGCAGGCGTTGACAAGGATATGGAGAAACTGGAACCTTCAATTATTGTGGTTGGATATGTAAAATGGTACATCTGCTTTAGAAAATAATTTGAGAGAGATTTTTATGTATGATGAAATGAAACTATCTCCAAGATAGGTCATGATTCCGGCAAAAAAAAAAAAAAAAGACAAAAAACAAGTATACCATAATAGTATGCAACCAGTTGTTTATAAAAGAAAAATATATAAATGCATATTTGCTACACAAAAAACTGGTGGGCAAGGAAAAGCTCAGTGGTAGAGTGTTTGCCTAGCATGTATGAGGCATTGGGTTCAATTCTAAATAGTACCTAAAACAAACAAACCAACTGGTAACACTAGTTGCCTATAGAAATATGATCTGGATATCTAGAAGACAGGGGCAATATGAGAGACATGGGTAATATTTAAAAGGACAAAAAGGATATAAAATAACACTACAAGAACTAAGCACATAATCCCAGCTACTCAGAAGACTGAAGTGAGAGGATGGGAAACTTCAGCCCAGCCTAGCCAACACAGCAAGACCCTGACACACACACACAAAAAAAACCAAAACAATGTTTATGTGTTATCTATTAAACAAATTAAGACAAAAATACAATGCTATACACTAAAAATAAAATTTTAAATCAATGTTATTGAAAATCGGAGTTGCAAATTCAAAGCATTCAGATATTTATGTTGTGTTCTATCATGTAATGCAAATGAATGAAGTAGGTAGGAGTATAGAAAAATAAGTAGAAAACCTTAAAAATATAAAACTGAAGCAACTGCTACTAAACTCTGACTGTACTTATGTCAGATAGCAAGCCCAATATTACTGCCCATTTTTCAAAAGAAACAGGAAATCTAGCCAGGTGCAGCAGTGCACACCTATAATCCCAGCCGCTTAGGAAGCTGAAGCAGGAAGATCACAAATTCAAAGTCAGCCTCAGCAATTTAGCAAGGCCCTAAGTAACTTAGTGAGATCCTGTCTTAAAATAAAAAATAAAAAGGACTAAGACTGTGGCTCAATTGATTGAGTGCTCCTGAATTCAATCCTGGTACCAAAACAAAAAACAAAAAAAACAGGAAATTTAAATATGTATGTAAAATGTCCTCTCTTTAATATTGGGTCTCCACCATGCCCAGTAAAATAGATTCATCCCACAGGTCCCTGTTTGTAACCTCCAATATTATAGAAAGTCCCTAATTTATGAACATGTGTCTCCGACTAAGTTTGAAAACTCTGAACACATTTTCCCCTAAGAGTAAAATAAGTAGTTTTTAGTAAATAAGTAAAATAAGTAGCTGGTTTCCAGATCCATTACGTGTCCAGGTAAACTATAGTACTGAACAAATAGTACTATTATCCTGACTTCTATGACTAACAATTTTTACATTAAAGAAATTATTCTATTTTGGACTTTGGAAAGTCTAAAGTGGTAGATCCAAAGGTATCAAATGAGGAAGAGGCAAAAACAAAAGGAAAGAAAAGGAGCATTAGGGGGGGCTCCTTTTTATTCATCAGAAAAAAAGCATAATTACCATAAACATGGAAACAAAACCACAAGGATGCTTTCAGCACTATTTATAGATTTCAATATATACAATAATTTTAGTTTCTATTATTTCATTTTTATATCAAAATTTACAGTTTCTCTCCTCAATAGAGGCAGGAGTTCCTCATACCCACCTGCTTTGCCTTTTGACTTAAGCTTTTAGCATCTTGCTCTCAGTAGTTCAGATTTATAATCATCCTCAAAACTTACCGAGGAAGTTTATTAAAAAAAAATTTTTTTTAAAAGACTGTGGCTGGGAATGAGCTCATGATCAAAGTGCCTGCCTACCATGCATATAAGGCCCTGAGTTCAATCCCAAGCACCACAAAAAGAGTAATAATAATAAAAATAATCAGAGACTTTTTCTGATTATGAAGGGAAAGAATCTTGGGAAAGAATTCAAATCTTTGATGGTGGAAACTGGGATAATCTTTCAAAATTTCTCCAGAGATCATTTGTAGGCAACAAAAGTGATGAGAAGAAAGAAAGGAAGGAAGGAAACTGGATACATGCCCATAATCCCAGCAACTAAAGAGGCTGAGGCAGGAGAACAAGGTCAAGGCCAGACCATGTCTCCAAATAAAAAGTAAAATGAGCTGGGGGTATAACTCAGCGCTAAAGCACCCTGGCTTCAATCACCACTGTGGGAGAGAAGAAAGTGGAGCACCGGTGGGAAGGAAAAAAGGATGTCTCAGTGACAGCAACAGCTGACACTACTGAAATTTCCTGCAGTCCTTGTAAGGGGGCTGATTTCTAGAAGAATTCTGTCCATTGCTCATAAATCACTCATCACAAAGTAAGAATGCCACATAATTTATATAATTAGCTTTAGCAGAAAAATCTATAGTGGCTGAGGCTGCAGCTCAGGGGTAGAGCATGTACCTAGCAATGGACAAAGTCCTGAATCCAATCCCCAGCACTGAAAAAAAAATTCAGTAAAGAAGAAATCAAATTGTCATGCCCACTAGAAGATTAAAGAAAGATTAATTTCCTAAAGGTAGATTTTTTAAAATTTTTTTTAGTTGTTGATGATCCTTTATTTATTTATTCATTCATTTGTGGTGCTGAGAATCGAACCCAGTGACTCACACATGCTAGGCAAGTGCTCTACCACTGAGCTACAACCCTAGCCCTCTAAAGGTACATTTTATCACTTCATTACTAAAGTAATAATAAACTGATTTTTTAAAACTGAAATTCACTCATGACTACTTCTAAGAACTCTACATTTTTTACCCATGGATAATATTCTACCTGGAGATTATTTGTAGCAAAGATGCAATCTCAGAAGAGAAATACTATTTAGTACTTCTAGTTACTTTGTTATTAACATTTAGTTAATGGATACCTAAAGAAATCTCATTTTAACATTATCCTAAGAGTAAACATGATTTTTAAGATGAAATCTGGAAATTTTTGGAAGTAATTTATTGATGCTTCATACTATAACCTCATCATATAATTCTGAAGAACAAGCTACAAGTGTTTTGGCAATCTGTCTTTGAAGATCAGCTCACATCTGCTCTCAGGTTACCAATAAAACTGCTTTACCATCCTACATAAAATCTAATTAGGGGCTGGGGTTGTGACTCATGATAGAGCGCTTGCATACCACATGTGAGGCCCTGGGTTCGATTCTCAGCACCACATACAAATAAATAAAATAAAGGTCTATTGACAACTATAAAAATATTAAAAGAAAACAAAATTTTTTTTAAAAAACCTAATTAGAAACATCAATTTGTTACACAGAAAGAAAGTCACATGTGCTCTAAATTCCAACAGAAATGACCACTGGATCGACTTACTGCCTCTCCTTTCCATTAATAAGAAACACGGAGATGCTCCTTTAAAAATAGTGAGGTTTACCAAGTTTCAGGTCATCAGAATGTCTGTTCCCCTCTACTAGGATAGAAATTATATGTACAACATAATTTAGAAAGGGTGCTAATAATATGAATTTATTGGGACATTTTAAGTAAGGTGATTCTTGTTTTTTGTTTTTGCTTTTTGTAGTTGTAGACAGACAGAATGCCTTTATCTTATTGGTTTATTTTTATATAGTGCTGAGGATTGAAGCCAGTGCCTCACCCATGCTAGACAAGCATTCTGCCACTGAGCTACAACCCCAATCCCAAGTGATACTTTTAATGTCTTCTATGACTGTGATTGACTCAACTAGACACCCACCCCTAATCAGTACAGAAAATGTACCAAAAGCTTCAGAATTACTTTACAAGAATATTTAGCCTATAATTGCCTTTATATAGATTCACTAACATAAGGAAAAATCCCATGAGTATTTCATGTATTTCTTGGCTTGAACAATATGGTTACCATGTCCACCAGGTATCATAGAAAATAAGGGGAAAAAGTATAAATAGAAAGAAGAGAGTCTAGGTTTTGAATTTAACCAAAGTCAGCCTCAACCACTATACTGAATTGATTCTAAAGGAAAACATTAAGGCATTTATATTTTATAACTTTCAAAAATAAAATTATTAATTATAAAACATACCTTGCTGAGCTAAAGTTGATCTAAGCATCCCAGTCTTTGACCAAATTTTAATTTGTCCATCTTCTCCAACTGAAAATAAAGTAAACTATTAAATTTGCATATAAAGTCAACAGTATTGATATAATGCATATTTAAAATTTGGATATAACTTACTCTAAATGATAGAAAGAAAGCTTTAGAAATGTAAAAATTAATGGAAAAAATACTTTAAAACAATTTTGTCAAAATATCCTAACTGCCATGACTAAAATTAAACTATTAAATTTGCATATAAAGTCAACAGTATTGATATAATGCATATTTAAAATTTGGATATAACTTACTCTAAATGTTAGAATGCTTTAGAAATGTAAAAATTAATGGAAAAGTTACTTTAAAACAATTTTGTCAAAATATCCTAACTGCCATGACTAAAATTGTATTTTTTTTCCTTCAATTTAGAAGCCTTATTGTTATTCATATACTGCTTCCATTGTCAAAGTAATCACCATTTTAGAATTCTAAGAGAAAGCCAGGTGCAGTGGTACAGGCCTATAATCCTAGCAATTTGGTTTGGCTGAAACAGGAAGATTACAAATTTAAGACTGGTTTGAGCAACCTGGTGAGAGCCTGTCACAAAATAAAATAAAAAGGGCTGGGGGTTGTAACTCAGAGCTGAAGTACCCCTGGGTTCAATCCCCAGTACCAAACACACACACACACACACACACACACACACACACACACCAACAAAAACAACAAGAGAAATACTGTTAGTGTAGTAAAACACTACTGCAACCAAATTCCAGTGAGTTAGAGACTGAATGAAATGAAATGATGGACTATTCTGTTGAATAGCTTAGCTAAAAAGGAAAGAAAGAAGACGTGGTAGCAAGGTATGTTAGGGATTTTTGTACTTATTTTATTTTAGGCAGTGCTAGATAAGCATTCTACAACTGAGCTATAGCCCCAGCCTGGAATTTATTGTCCTTCTTAATTTTTAAAGTAAGTGACATCTAACCACATTTATAACATGAAAAGAAGCCATTGAAAAAGTAGTTTAAGATACATGTGAGACCACTAATGAAATTTTAGAGTAATTTAGCAAGAGAAGGAAATAAAAGGAAAACAAATAGGAAGGAAAGAAATCAAAATATCACTTTTTGTAGATGACATGATCCTATATTTTAGAAGATTTCAAACGCTCCACCAGAAGACTTCTAGAGCTGACAAACAAATTTGGCAAAGTAGAAAGATACTAAATCAGTATACAAATCCACAGAGAAAGAAATCAGGAAAACAATTCTATTTACAATAGCCTAAAAACAAAACAAACAAAAAACCTGGAAATAAATCTAACCAAAGATATGAAAGACCTCTACAATGAAAATATAAAAACATAAAATATAAAAAAAGAAATTAAAAAGACACTAGAGGATGAAAAGACTTTCCATGGTCATCAATAGGTAGAATTAATATTGTTAAAATGGCTATATTACTAAAAGCAATCAAATACTAATGACATTCTTCAAAGATCTAGAAAAAAATTTCTAAACTTCTTATGGAAGAACAAAAGACCCAGAATAGCAAAAAAAAAAAAAAAAAAAAAAAAAAAAAAAAGGAACAATCATAATACCCTATTTCAAATATATTACAGAGCTACAGTACCTAAAACAGCATGAAAAACAAGTAGACCAGTAAAATAGAAGACAGACACAAACCCAAACAGATACAGTCATCTCATCCCTGACAAAGAAACAATAAACATATGTTGGAGAACACAATCTTTTTAACAGACAATCATGGGAAAACTGGATATCCACATGTAGAAAAATGAAACTAGATCCCTATCTCTCAACCTGCTCAAAAGTCAATGCAAAATGGATTAGAGAACTATGAATTAGACCAGAAATTGTGCAACTGCTAAAAGAAAATGTAGGATAAACACTCTAACATATAGGCACAGTCCCAATCTTCCTCAATAGGACTACTAAAGTTCAGGAAACAATACAAAAATTAATAAATGGGGTGGCATTAAATTAAAGAGCTTCTACACAACAAAGGAAACAACAGTGTATAAAGACATAATGGGAGATCTTTGCCAGCTACTCCTCTGACAAAAGGATTAATATCCAAAATATATAAAGAACTCAAAAAACATACCAACAAAAACAACACAATCAATAAGTGGGCAAATGAACTAAACAGATATTTTTCAAAGGTACAGATGGCCAATAAATAAAAAAATGTTCAATATATGAAAAAATGTTGTCATCAGGGAAATGCAAATCAAAACTACACTGAGATTTCATTTCCAGTTAAAATGGCAATCCAACCATCAAGAATACAAAAAGCCAGTGTGGTGGCACACACCTGTATTCCCAGGGGCTCATGAGGCTGAGCAAGAGGATTAAAAGAGTTTAAAGGCAACCTCAGCAAAAAGCAAGGTGCTAAGCAACTCAGTGAGACCCCATCTCTAAATAAAATACAAAATAGGGGGCTGGGGTTCTGGCTCAGTAGTAGAATGTTTGCTTAGCACGTGTGAGGCCCTGGGTTCCATCCTCAGCACTACATAAAAATAAAGACAGTGGGTCCATTTACAACTAAAGATACATATATTTTTAAAAAAATAATACAAAATAGGGTGGGGGTTGTGGCTCAGTAGTTGAGTGCCCCACCAATCTCCAGTATCCACCCCCTCAAAAAAAGAAAATGAACATCAATAAATGCTGGAGAGATGGGAAATATGAATTCTTTTAACTGTTGATGGAATTGTAAATTACTGTAACAGTGGTACACTTTATGCTTTGAATATAGCCTTGGCTGCTCTGCCAATGCAATTTATTTTTGAAATGGACATGTTTCTTTCTCTTCCTCACTCCCTGCTCCTCCCTAATCTCTCCCCCTCCCTAATCTCAGGGGAAACAGGGTTACCTTTCTTCCCCATCCTAAGCAGAGTTATCTGCCCTTGAGTACACATCCACCATAAGAACAAAGTAATCCAGACTTTGGGACTGGTACCAGAAGATCTCAGAAATGACTATGTCCCAAATTAACAAGTGATTACAATTCCAACAAAGAACACATGGAATGTAGCCTTTGAATCACCTCTTTACAAACTCCTTTCCCGCAGAATCACAGCTTTTGGGACAGGTGTCTGTTGTGTTTCTCCTTCATTAGCAAAGCAATAAACCTTTTTTTTTTTCTCAAAACTGTGTCCTCATTATTGGATTGGCATCAGAGACAAGGACCAAGCTTTCCGTAATATAACCACTATGCAAATCAGCATGGAGTTTCCTCAAATGTCAGAAATGAAACTTTCATATGACCTAGCTATACCAGTCCTCAGTATTTATCCAAAAGAAATAAAGTCAGCATCTATTACTGATACATATATATCTATGTTTATTGCTGGGCAATTCATAATAGCCCAGTGTGAACAAGATTAAACATCCATCAACAGATGAATGGATAAAGAAAATGTGGTATACATATATATACAATGGAGATTTATTCAGTAATTTAAAAAAAGAATGAAGTCATTTGCAGGAAAATGGACAGAGCTGGAGATCATCATGTTAAGTGCAATAAACCAAACTCAGAAAGTCAAGGGTCCTATATTTTCTCTCACATGTGGAAGCTAGAGAGAAAAAAGGAAGAAAAAGGATCTCATGAAAATACAAGGGAGACTAGCAGCGTAGACAAAAGCAGGGGAGGAAAAAGAGGAAGGTAAGGGAAAGAAGAAGGAAATAAAATTGACCAAATTATATGCATATATAAATATGTCACAATGGATCTGGTAACATGGTTTTTATTATACATCAATAAAATTATTATTTTTTAAAATACAGACTACAGAAGGGACAATTCACCAAGAAAGCCCTCTGACCAAAAGCCAGGTGATAGCTACGGTAGTTTTAAAACACATCCACAAATTCTCTGTTATCCCATCCCCTTCAAAAGTTAGAGCTTAATTCTCTCTCCTTCAGTGTGGGCTGTACTTAGCAATTTGCTTCTAATGAACTAGAATATGATGGCAATGATAGAGTATGATTTCTAAGAGTAAGTCACAAAGAAATATTGTGGATTCTATCCTGTTCCTTTTTTGGATCACTAGGACAAGCAGCTGCCATGTTATAAAAATACTCAAACAGCCCTATGGAGATGCTTATTTGGCAAGGAAATTAGTCTCCTGCCAAAGCCAGAGAGGAACTAAGGCCTCTTCCCTCACCTATTGAGGCAGGTATGTAAGTCACCTTGGAAATGGATATTTCAGCCCTAGTCAAGCCTTGGTATGACTGTAGTCTCACCCAACAACTTGAGTGAAACCTCATGAGAGACACTGAGCCATAGAGTCATCCACCTAAACTGCTCTCTGACCCACAGAAACTGTCAAATACTACACATTTATTATTAAAAGTCATGAATTGTAATCCCAGAGACTCAGGAGGCTGTCAGGAGGATGGTGAGTTCAAAGCCAAACCTTAGCAAGTCAGTGAGGCCCTAAGCAACTTAGCAAGACCCTTTCTCAAAATAAAATATAAAAAAGGATTGGGAATGTGGCTCAGTGTTTAAACACCCTGGATTCAATCCCTAGTATCAAAAAAAAAAAAAAATCATAAATTATGCAGCAGTAGATAATTTTGTGAAGATGAGAGATGAGAATACTCTCATAAAGAAGATAAGGAAGAGATAAAAGGAAGATAAAAGTCAGTCAGAATATTTTGAATTTTGAAATTTTAAAGAATTACAACTTTTATTTATCTCAAATTTGACTACTCTAAAAGCTTTCTTTGAACTAAAAAAAAAAAACAAATAACTCAATAAATGGACAAAAGAACTGAATAGACACTTCACAAAAGAAATATGGTCAAAAAAATGTTCAACATCTTTAGCAATTAGAGAAATGCAAATTAAAACTACACTTAGATTCCACTTCACTCCAGTCAGAATGGCAACAATCAAGAATACAAGTAACAAGACAAAGGGTATAGCTCAGTTCATAGAGTGCTTGCCTCATATGCACAAGGCCCTGGGTTCAATCCCCAGCACTACCAAAAAAAAAGAATACAAGTAAATGTTGCCAAGGATGTGGGGGAAAGGGTACACTCATACATTGCTGGTGGGACTATAAAATTGGTGCAATCACTCTGGAAAGCAGTATGGAGATTCCTCAGAAAACTTGGAATAGAACCACCATTTGACCCACTCCTCAGTTTATACCCAACAGACTTAAAATCAGCTATACTACAGTGACACAGCCACAACAATGTTTATAGCAGCTCAATTCACAATAGCTAAGCTATAAAACCAACCTAGATGCCCTTCAACAGATGAATGGATGAATAAAATGTGATATATAAACACAATAGACTATTACTCAGCCATAAAAAAGAATGACTTTATGACATTTACTGGAAAATAAATGGATTTGGAGAGTATGATGCTAAGTGAAATAAGCCAATCCCCCGCCCCCCCCCAAAAAAAAGGTTGAATGTTCTAATATGTGGAGGCTAACACAACAAAGTGGAGGAGAGGGGAAGAATAGACGTTCACTGGATTAGACAAAGAGAAATGAAAAGAAGGCAGAGGAGAAAGGAATAGGAAATGATTCTGACATAACTTTCCTATGTATATATATGAATACACCACAGTGAATTTCTACATCATGTACAACCACAAGACTGGGATCCTAATTAGAATAAAATGTACTCTATGCTTGTATATAACTAAAAAGTACTCTATGTTTATATATAACTAAAAAGAACAAAAACTTTAAAAAAAATAATAAAGGATTCTTTGACAGAACTGTCTCTAAAAGAAAAGAAAACCAACAAGATGAGGAGTTCTGCATCCACTACAGACTGTATAAAGATGTTTGGCTCACATAGACTCCAAGGTGAGAGGCCTGCTGCAGGCCAGACAGCCAAGCTTGGGCCAAAGAGCTCTTCCTGGGCAGATTCGAGAACAACCTAGCAAAGGTGAACTTAATGATATCAATCTATTTGTGAGATCCATGGAAATGTTCTTCACTGAAGATGCCTTTGTCATCACCAACTCCCATTGTTGCCTGGGCCTTTCCAGCCAAGTAGAAGTGGCTGGAGCAGATCAGCTTGGAAGAGTCTATCACCTTGACCCTAGCAGCACATCTTGGCTATCCTTCATCTCAAGGTCAATTGACTATGGATTCCATCTAGTCCTTCTGGAGGAGGAAGGAGGCCTGCTTACTTTTATGAGAACTTAGGAAGTTCATTTTGAAAATGCCAGAGTGCCCATTCCAAATGTCCTTAGAGAAATTGCAATCAGTTCCAAGGGTATCCAGCTGCTCCTACAAGAGCCTCCGGCCCCAAAATTCAAACTGCTCTGTAGCAGGAGAGTACACTAGGACAAAGCACCTGTGGGTACCTGGTATCAGTCTCATGCATGACTTAAATGCAGGATGAGGAAAAGATATTGCAGTGAGTAGGGACATATCACCCTGTCAAGTTTCCTAAGGAGAAACGTAATAAAATGACATTCTAATATAGCAACTGTGTCTAGGGAGGATAAATGAAGAAGAGGTACAAAGATGTTTAACATTCAAGTGTGGGATAGATGATTATTCTCGGCTTTCCTGTCAAATATATAAAAATGCATACATATATGAGACTGGCTTCAAATTTGTAATCCTTCTGACTCCACCATGTGCCACCATACCTGGCTCATCATTCAGCTTTTATAAGAAGGATGCTACAGGTGGAAGTAATGGCAAAAGTTCAAGGTCAGCCTCAGCAATTTAGCAAGATGCTATCTTAAAAGTAAAACATAAAAATGACTGGAGATACATCTCACTGGCAAAGCAACCCTAGGTTCAAACTCTAATAACAAAAGAACATTCTGCCATTTAAAATAACATGGATGAAGTTAGAGGACTTCGTGGTAAGTGAAATGATCCAGACACAGAAAGAAATATATTACATACTCTATATGTAGAATCTGGGAAAAAAAAAGGTGAATGTATAGAGAACAGTGGTTACTAGAAGACAACAATTAATAATACTGCATCATGTACTAGAAATTCCAAAAAGTATAATTTTAAGTGCTCTTATTGCAGAATGAATAATTATGCAACACAATGGATTTTATTAACACATATCTCCTATACATATTAATAAGATTTGGTGTGATATTTCCATGTATGCATACACATGTACTAATAATGTCCAACCACTCTTCTTCCATTCTTTTTTGGTACCGAGGATTGAACTCAGGGGCACTAGAACACTGAATCACATCCCCAGCCCTATTTTGTATTTTATTTAGAGACAGGGTTTTAATGAGTTGCTTAACACCTCGATGTTCAAGGCTAGCTTTGAACATGCAATCCTCCTGTTTCAGCCTCCCGAGCCACTGGGATTACAGGTGTGTGACACTGTGCCCCGTTTCTTCTTTCACCCTTGATGCCCCAGAAGCCTTCTCAGCCAGACCCAGTATTCTATTTTCACATAAATTTTATTTTATCTGACATATATAATAGACAACATGTGATATTTTTCTTTTTGTGTCTTTCATCACTTAGTGTTGCATCATCCAGTTCCATCTATTTTGCTGAAAATTACAATATCTCATTTTTGTTTATGTATTCACCATTGTGAATACATAACATACTTTCTGTTGCATATGTTAAATTACTTACCTACAACACTAATTGTTTTCTTTGTATGTATTGCTAAACATACTGTTATACAACTTAAATTCATATAACAAAAGAAACAAAGTAAATTAGGAAAAAAAAGAAAACTAACAACATGTTTTGAATTATAACATTTATATAGCAATCTAGATTCTGTGCCAAGCATTTGCTATCACACAGTGAAAAATTTTATTGCTAAATGAAAGTATCTCTTTCTGTCTCTTTGGAAATTTTAAATATTTCATTTAAAATGTCACTTTGGGGTTAAGGGATTTTGCTCAGTGGTAGAGCACTGCATACACAAGGCAGCCCTAGATTCAATCCCCAGGACCAATTTTTAAAAAATTATTTTTGCAAATAACGTACCTGTAACTAGTGCTGTACCTTCATAATTCCATCTTCCTGCAAGTACTGCTCCACAGTGAGCTTCGACACTTTTCTCGACTCTTCCTAACTTAGAAATCAAATGAAATTTACCTAAAAAATTGTATTTGAGAAATGTTTTATTAATTATTCAGTACACAAACATCTGTTGAGCATGTACTACTAGAATAATTAGCTTAGTACTAGGCCTTCTAGGCATAAAAGGAAACAATGTAATTATTCTTAATCTCAAGGAAAACAAATCTATTGAAAAACAGGCACAGGGCTGGGGTTGTGGCTCAGGGGTAGAGCGTTCACCTCCCATGTGTGAGACCCTGGCTTCCATCCTCAGCACACATAAAAATAAAATAAAGATGTTGTGTCCACCGAAAACTAAAAAATAAATATTAAACAACTCTCTCTCCCTCTCTCTCTCTAATAAATAAATAAATAAGCAAACAAACAAAATAAGGATATTGTGTCCATGTATAACTAAAAAAAAAAAAATTAAAGAAAAACAGGCATAAAAATAGAGTTACAAAACCTAGAAACAAGCGGTATAACAGACGTGTACATAATGGTTCAGAAAAACAATGAAATTCTGCTACAGTTAAGGTGTGCCAAGAGAAATGTCAAGAAACCCTTATATTTAAGCAGAATTTTACATTCTTGATTTTTTTAAGCTATGGAACAGATGAAAAAGTACAAAGAAAAAAATAGTTATATAAATAATCCCAGGTTTTAAAATACTTGCCTTATATGATTTTCTACTGTTATCAGGTACCAGGACAAAAAATAGGCCAAGTACTTAGATGCTCTCCTCCAAGTTTGTACATTTATAGGCAAAAAGTTAAAAAAAACTTCAAGAGACATAAGTAAAACTGTATCAGATGTCAAGGAGAAAAATCAAATATGCGAAAATAAGTGGTACAGGAAGAAAAAGTATCAATATAATTTTTGAATAATCATTAAACCTAGTAATATATAGAGAGATAGTAATAAAACAAAAAAGTACATTGAATCTACAAACTTTTCCATAGAATACATAAATGTACATATGTGTGTGTGTGTATATATATATATATCCTAAAAGAATAATGTAGCTGCCTAATTAAATTTTGACTAAGGATTTATTCTGTATAAAATCACTTTTAACATACACCTTTTCAAGATTCTGACTTAACAATTCATTAAAATATATTTAAGAACTGGGAATATATCTCAGTAGTAGAGTGCTTGCCCAGAATGCACAAAGTCCTGGCACGCACGCACGCACGCACGCACACACACACACACATACACACACACACACACACGGCAGATGTTTAAGATAGCTTTAGACATTCAATACCTAGTCCCACCTAATCATTTTCACCAAAAAAAAGTTATTCTCCCTTTCTACACAAAGGATACTTTATTTATAGCTAATGACAATGAAAAAATTCTGAGCGTCCTAAATTTAATTACAAAAGGCAAGAGAGAGAAAGAAGGAAGAGAGACAGAAGGAGGCTAATCAGCAATAAACTACAGGCCAATAAAAGAACAAAAGACCATCTTGTAATCTTGGATATATTTTGAAAGCTTTTAAAATATCTGATGTGTTATATGCTATATCCTGACCTGTTATATGCTACCACATCCCTGGTAGATTACCTACCTATCTCAAAGTCTTCACTGATTTGGGTAATCCTGCCCCTATACTAAATAGCCAATGTAGGGTTGTGTAAATAACTTGAATCTTCCCTCTCCAAACTTTCATTATAAAGTACTCTGGTCTTTAGATACAACAGACATTTTTCTACCTGCCATCTAGGTGGTGGCTAACAGAATTTATCCCAGGACTAGTTCTTTCTTTCTGGCAAGCATCTTTCATGGCTCAATAAATCCTTTTACTCCAGAGATCTCTTGGTCTCAAGAATTTTTACTTAATACCCTGTTAAAGTATGTTTTATTAAGTTTTGATTCCTTTCAGGACCAGGGCCATATCTTAGATTTTTATTTGTAAAAGTACTATTGTCCTTTTACATCTAACAATCCACTAGCAACATCTACTTCTCCCACTTCCTTTTAACTTTATATTTACTGTTGTGTCATTTTTCTAACATAACAAGATTACTTTGAATTCAACTGTACTAATTCTTTATTGAATCAACTTAAAATTAATTTGTGTACATGTGTTTTCATATATTACTTTACAAACAAAATACAAGGGGAAAAAGTCTCAAAAGAGGCAAAAGATGACATATAGTAAGCAGAAAGCTAATCAGACATTACATTACTTTATTCAGGCGTTTCATTAAATGTTAGCACAATGTCTAGCACATAATATCCACAAAATAAATAACTGTTGCAGATAATGTATGAACTCATCAAAGAAATTAACCAAATAACTCTTGACCAGAAAGGTAGAGTCCAAAACTTATCTTTCAACCTATTCTAATTTTTAAAATTTTTATGTATTTACATCACTGATATTTCTTACCTTAAAACATCTAATTCTGACTTTCTGACAAGTGCTAACATTACCATGCTACCCATAACCTTAAAGAAAATACATACTGGGACAACTGAGGTTGTTGGTTTGGGGATTTTTTTTTTTTTTTTTTTTTTTTTTGCATAGATTTAGCACACAACGAATTTTCACCTGATTGTCACAAGCTACTTAAATACCATACCCAGAGTATAAAGCATAAATGCAGAATTACATAAATCAAATATGTAAAAAATCCATATTTATCCATTTAACTATTTGGGCTCTTCTCTACAACTTTCCCAGCTTTCTTGTGACCTTTCTGAAAAAATGGAAAACAGAACTGGGGATGTAGCTCAGTGGTAGAGCACCTGTGTGAAGCCCTCGTTTGATCCCCAGGACAAAAAGAAAGAAAAAAAAAATGCAGGACTAAAACTAGAGATTAATTAATTTATTTCTATCTACATGTTAGGTGTTGGGGTTGGTCAGTGAATACAACCAGGAAGATTCACTGATTCATTTATTATGTAAACAATGAATGTTTGGGATTTAAAAGATAGGTATTTAAACTCTTATGAATAAACTTATCGCATTAAATAAAATAAATTTAATCCTAACTTTTTGTAGTAACCCAAATTAATTATGAATGATAAAAAGAACAGGAAGTAGATTAAAAATACATGAAACACATTTTTAAAGACTACAAATGCTTAAAAAATGTCCATGAGAACAAGACTCGGAACAAGAAGGCTACGAAAAAAGTAACAGATGAGTGCTTTTGCAGACTGCTTAGTAGCAAAAATGTTTTGGCAGATGGCAATAAAAAGCCACAAAGAGTTTTTTTTTTTTTTCTTTAATGTTTGTTTTACTTCTTTTTTTTTTTCTTTTGTCTAATGTTTGTTTTACTTCTTTTTTATCTTTCTTTCTTTTTTTTTTTCTTTGTGGTACTTGGGATTGAATCCAGGGATGCTCTATTACTGAGCTATATCCCTAACCCTTTATTTATATTCTTTACTTTAAGAGTAGGTCTCGCTAAGTTATCCAGGCTATCCTTGAACTTGGGGAACCTCTTATTTCAGCCTCCCATGTAGCTGGAATTACTGGTGTGTTCCAACATACCCAGCCACAGAAATTCTAATAGCTCATTTCTGATACAAAAAATATAAAAATAAAAATTACATTTAAAGTGGAATTTTTAAATGGGCATAATAACTAATAAAATACAATGTAAAAAATACCAACATTCATGAAAGATAATTTAAGGAATGTTTAATGGCTTTACAAAAGATTTTTATATCACCCCAATAAAAGATTTTATACCAGAATTCCTTCACAAAGCAGCTCCTGTTTTAAATAATTTAATTTAATTTAAATAATTTGATTCTTTCAAAACATTTATATATATATTTTTGGTACCAGGGATTGAACCCAGAGGTACTTAACCACTGAGCCATATCCCCAGCCCTTTTTATATTTTATTTAGAAACAGGGCCTCACTGAGTTGCTTAGGGCTTCTTTATGTTGCTGAGGCTGGCTTTGAACTCAAAATCCTCCTGCCTCAGCCTCCTGAGCCACTGGGATTACAGATGTACCCAACTCCATGCAGCTAAATTTTTAAAAAAATGAACATACATTTATGGTCAATTGATTTTTTTGGTGGGGGGGCAATAGACACAATACCTTTAATACATTCATTTTATTTATTTATTTTTATGTGGTGCTGAGGATCAAACCCAGTGCCTCACACGTGCCAGGCAAGCACTCTTATAACTCTTATAACCCCAGCCCCTCAAAACAAAATTTTAACACTTATCTCTTCTAAAAATATTTTAAAAGGAGGGAATGTTGAAGAGAAAAATTATTCAAGACCTGCCACAAATCTCAGGATTTTTTATTTCTTACCCTAAAATACCTAATATGATTTTCTGACAAGTGCTAATATTAGGAATTATTTAAATATATTAGGGAAGTGGCTGTTAATAATTAATGGTATCACAAATACAAAAGAGGAAAGGATCAGAAAATGGGAAGACTGGAAAGAGTGATGAACAAATTTAAAAACTGAAACTTCCTTTTCTGCCAGTCTTAGGGGAGAAAAACCAAGAAGAGAAAGCTGGAGGAAAACAGAATAAAGAAATTCTTGAGCAATGAAGTAAATCTCAAAGGAATTTTTTTTTTAAGCATTGGGGTTAACATCACATAAGATGAACAAGTTTCAGAGCTGGGAGTACAACCATGGGTTTATAATCAATAATACTGTACTGTAGATTTCATATTTATGTTTTTTACCACAATGTATTAATAAAGTCCTGGGTTAAAAATGAACATAACATTGATAAATAAAATGACCTCATATGTTTATTTGGCAGGAAACCCCTTCATCACCTCTCAGTGCATTTACCTTCCTCCCTGAGCACTTCCCCTTTTTTTTGGATGCTGTTTTCTATCTTATTCTTCCACTTCTTTTCTTTGATCCATCATCTTTTTTCAAAAGATCCCAGCTATTCTGGGAAGAAAATACCCTACTTTGGTTCTCTCTTCTCTCTACAACTAGTTATGGTATACTTTCTTACTTTATATAGGAAACCTAAAAATAAAAATAAATACTATGACTTCTCAGAGTCATAACATATTTTTCTTTACTATTGTTATAAATTTATCTTTTAAATTATATTTTTTTACATTAGACTTTTTCCCACAATCAGAAAAAAATCCAATGGGAAGTAGATATCTAAGGAATTATTAATTTATAGTGATTAAGTAAGATGAATACTTCAGGAAAACAGACAACAGAAATTATCAAGACTATTTTTACTGTCCAAATTCACCAGATAAAAGTTAAGCCTTATATACTACTGAGTTTAAAAAGAAAAATGTAAAGAAAATATATGATAATGTATTTTAAAAAGTTGATATGAGAACATATACATCTATTTTTGCCAAAAGAAATACAAGAAGGACAAACCAGAACCAAAGAGATTGATTACGTGGGTGAATGGAATTGTGTGGGTTAAGGTTATTCTGGCTATTCTTTATATAAAATAGTTTTGAGTTTGCTTCATAATTATTTACATATATAAAAAAATACTCAAATCAATAAGGATGGGGAGGAGGAGCTCTTAAATGGAAAACAAAAATAAATATAACTGTATTTCAAATGAATAACATTACACACTTAAGCAGGAGGACAAGGCAAGTAACTCCAGAACACAGAACTTTGACTCTATATCCTCAATCAAAAACAAAGATAAAAACACTAGTAAACAGATACTGAACCTTAATTTTTGCAGTAGTATGTGTTATCAATTTTGGAACTAATGTGTATTATAGAACTAAGAAATGTATAAAGATACTGATAATAATGGAACCAGATTTCTTCACTGTTCTCAAATATAGAAAAAAGACCAAAATTAAAACTGTGGTATTTAATTAGAACTGATGACATCAGGGCTGGGATGTGGCTCAAGCGGTAGCGCGCTCGCCTGGCATGCGTGCTGCCCGGGTTCGATCCCCAGCACCACATACAAAAAAACAAGGATGTTGTATCCGCCGAAAACTAAAAAATAAATATTAAAATTCTCTCTCTCTCTCTCTCTTTAAGAAAAAAAAAAAAAAGAACTGATGACATCATCATCAATTCATGGTTTAGATAACATAAAAAGAAAGACCTAAATAGCTATAGCTATGAATTTTTTAGCATTCTTTTTTATATTCTAATTTGTTACATATGACAGCAGATTGCATTACAATTCATATTATAGCTATGTATTTTTAAATATATATATATGAACTCCTATTTCTTAGCTCTGACCACTGAAAGGGTCACACCCCACTGGAATGAACACAGCACTGATATCCTGGCTTTTAAATATCCTTAACCACCAAAAACAGAACAGGTCTCCTTGGAAAATGGCTGATTGGGGGGCTAGAACCAGGAGAGGACTAGGTAAGCCTACAACAGTTTTTGACAGCAAGGAAATTTTCAAATAATGAGGACATTGATGGGGCTCCCAGTGGCCAAATCTGGTACAATTTTAACATCAAGATTTAAAATGATAGTAATAGGGGGCTGGGGCTAGGGCTCAGTGGTAGAGCGCTTGTGAGGCACTGGGTTTGATCCTTAGCACCACATAAAAATAAAGGGGGCCATGGTTGTGGCTCAGTGGTAGAGTGCTTGCCTAGCATGCGTGTGGCACTGGGTTCGATCCCTGGCACCACATAAAAATTTAAAAAATAAAATAAAATAAAGGCATTGTGTTCATCTACAACTAAAAAAAAATTTAAGTTTATAAAATAAAGGTATTGTGCCCACCTAAAAAATAAATGATAGTAACAGAATATTCATGAAATAAAATAAGAATCTTTAAAAGCCTAATCTGATATAAAAAAAAAACAAAAACAAATAAATGGGCATGGGATGAAACCTCTTCCTTGGAACAAATTATAAATTATCAACTATTCAATATGGAAGAAATTATGAAGACAGAAAAACCACCATTTGGCAACCACCTTATTAATAAATGATTTAGCCAAGAAACATCAACAGATGCTAAAAGAGTAGGAGGAAATCTAAGGAAGGAGAACACTTTAAAGTCTCAAAATATTCTTTCACAAATTATTTATTAGATGGGAAAAATAGTAACTTTAGATTAACTTAGTAAACACAACCTATCAAGTAAAGCTAACATCATTAATAATAGGTCAAACCAACATCATGAATCTCCTAATCTGTTACCCTGAGTATTTCTGATAAAAATGTGGAAATTGAATTGAATCTAATCATACGAAAGCATCAAATAAACACAAGTTGAAGAACATTCTATAAAATAATAGGTTTGTATTTTTCAAAATTATCAAGATCACACAAGAAAGACTGAGAAGTTATTCCAGAGTAAAAGAACCTAAAGAGACATAACAAAAGCAGTGTGCTATTCTGTAATAGAAAAAACAAAATTCTACAAAAGGTATTGTCAGGACAAACGTTAAAATTTGAATATAAACTATAGATGCGATAATGGTATTGCATCAATGTTAAATTTCCTGATTTTGATCAATGTATTATAGTGACATAATAGAAAATCTTCATTCTTAGGAAATGCATTAATACATTATGGCTAACAAGGCAGGTCTGCAAATTACTCTCAAATCTTTCAGAGAAAAAAAATGTGTGCAGTACACATGTGTACAGAAAGAAGAAAGAGACGAAAGTAAAGAATATGGGACAAAATGATAAACTAGTGAATTTGTATTAAAGAATATGCAGAAAATATTTGTATAATTTTCACAACTTTTCTGTAAATGCAAAATAATATCAAAATAGAAAATTTTGTTTTAAGTGAACCTTTCACTTTATCATCCATCTGAGGCAAAATTAAATTCTAGCTGTGGTTACCAAGTGGTTTCACATATGCATCTCATTTAATCAAGTTTCAGAAAAATAAATTTAAAAAAGAAAAGACTTTCTGCTAATGAAATGCAATCTGACACTAGTGTTAGCCATAACATCACTTCCCTTTCTAGCTGTGGTTACCAAGTGCTTTCACATATGTATCTCATTTAATCAAGTTTCCAAAAAAAGTTTAAAACAGTAAAGACTTTCTGCTAATGAAGTGCAACCTGACACTAGTGTTAGCCATAAGATTCCTTCCCTTTCCCTCCTCTCCTTTCCTTCTCCATGTAGTTGCTTGAGGCTTGACATTCTCAATTAGTGTCCTATTCCCTTGATTAAAGTGATTCACATGAACCAAGCTCACGTAGGACCCTCTCAAAAACTTGCCTACAAAAGGTATTATGGAAGAAGCACTCTTTCTACAGACATTTATTTTCCAGGATGATGAACCTTAGGCTGCTCACCACATGAGTAGAAACGATGCAAGAGATGGTAAGAACAGAAGTCTGCTACAGCTATGCTTGAATATCTACCCCTAGATTTAGGTAAACCAGAAAACTCCATTTATGCATGTTAGTCAGATAAGTTCTGTTGGAGTACCCGCTAACTGACTTAGTAGGTAAATGTAATACAAAAATAGTTCAAGCATTTCTGAAAAAAAAAAAAAACTAAATTAAAAAGCAATAATAAAATAATAAAAGCAGAAAAATCATGCTTTCTATTCACTAATAATAAAACTATAGTCAAGTTAAATAAATATCCAACTCTGCAAATGGAAATGAACATGCTAGAAATTAAAGTATAGATTTAATAAACTGAGTATGTACATCCATATCTTTTTCGGTGTGGTTATGTTATTAATTTAAATATGAAGAAATTACAAACCAAAATTATGAAAACAGCTAAATTCAGCTCATCAGAGCACAGTGAAAATAAAGCCAAGGGCCCATATTCAATACAATATATGGCACTTTAATTCACTGTCTTCCATAATAATAATTCTGTGACCCAAACCAAATGACTATACAGAAAATAAATGTGTGAAGAAGGCATGCAGATTCACAAATGCCAGTTATGTAAAACAATTAAAAACATATATAATACAAGACACAAAATACTTATTTAAAACTTACCATCAGAACTTGTGAGAACAAAGCTTTCTGCTTGTGTCTGTTTCTTTATGCCTAAACTTTTTGGAAACCAGTGAAGATCTATAGGGTAAGTATCATCAGGAAGCTTTACAATTTGACTTGTTTCACTGGTTAACAAGTTCCATTTCACTATCTGGTGATCATCACTACATGAATATAATTCTTCAGCAGTAGTCCAGCCCACACAACTTACTAATTCTTGATGTGATATCATATTAAGGAGGCATAAAACACACAGAAGCACACAAATCTTAAAGTCTTAATAATTCACAGATGCAGATTATGAGAAGGAAGTAAAATATAAAATGGTTAAAGTTTTCAAGCTTCTAAATATTTTGGTTTTTGTTTGTTTTTGGTACCAGGGACTGAACTCAGGGGTACTTAGCCACTGAACTATATCCCAGCCGTTTTTATTTTTTATTTTGAAACAAGAACTTGCTAAGTTGCTGAGGCTGGCTTTGAACTTGTGATCCTACTGCCTCAGCCTCCCCAGCCACTAGGGATTATAGGCATGTGCCACCACACTCGGCCTTTTTTTATTTTATGACTTTGATATTCTTCCATGTTAAGGAAATTTAAAATCTTATCAAAATAGTCTTAGGAATGAAAAGAAGGAAGACTGCCAGATGCCAAAGAGAGGATAAACTGATTTGACTACATGAACATTTATAACTTGTATTACAAAATAATTCTTTAAACAAGGCCAAAAGATATCCAAAAGAAATTTAATAGATTAAAAGGTAGGAAATGATCTACACTAAATTGTTTAGGACTAGATAGGAAGAAAGGAAACTACCATATACGTGTAAAGTGTGCATATACTCTATACATATACATGTGTAGACATATATGAATAGCCATATGTGTACCAATTATTTGAAAGTACATATTACTTTGGTTAAGTAAAACAAAAAAATCAAGTACTAAAATAAGACTAAAACATAAGTAAAATATTCCCTTAAATCACACAGTATAACAATTCACCTAGGGAAAAGCCCATAGCTTAACAACAAAAACTAAAACTATCCCAAACATTTTTTTTTCATTTTCATTTTAGTTATTTATTTTTAATTGACAATACGAAAATATTTTTTCTTTTTGCACTGTTAGGGATCAAATTTAGAGCCTCATGCATGGTAGGCAAGCGCTCTACCGTTGAGCTACATTCCATTTGACAAGAACTAATTCAAATGCAATTTACTATATTTACAAGATGAATAAAATATTACTCCTAAAATTCTTTTTTTTAATTTTTATTTTTTGGTACTGGGGATTCAACTCAGGTGCACTTTAAAACTGAGGTACATTCCCAGCCCTTTTTATTTTTTATTTGACATGGAGGGTCTTGCTAAGTTGCTGAGGTTAGCCTCAAACTTGCAATCTTCCTGCCTCAGACTCCCAGATCCCTGGATTGAAGGGACTCCCTAAAATTATTTAATCCATTTTTTCAGTCTCTGATTATTATAAGATTTCTACATATGTTGAGATGCTAAAGTTGCTCTCACATCCTCCTTCAAGACAAGCTGCTTACCCTAGTAGAAATGTGCACCTAGAAAAGAGTATATTTTAGTTTGTCATTTATATCCAATGTTATTTCTTCTTTACATTTGAACTGGGGACTTGCTGACAAAATACAAGGTCATTCATTTGAGAAAATATTAATAATTGCCACCTTTCCTTTTGAAATAATTAAGGTCTCAATGCTCAGATTTCTCCAGCTTGTCCTCTACTTTATCAAGAATGCAAAGAAACTGAGCAAAATCCAATGAACACATTAGAAATTATTTGGTTTAAAAAAATGATTCACTGGGCATGGTAGTACACATCACATTTGTAAGGCATGCAACTCAGGCAGCTGAGGCAGGAAGATCACAAGTTCAAGGCCAGCCTCAGCAACTCAACAAGGCCCTAAGCAACTTATAGAGACCCTGTCTCAAAAAAAAAAATCAAATGGGCTGGGGAGGTGGCTCAGTGGTTAAATGCCCCTGAGTTGAATCCCCAGTACCAAAAGAAATTAAAAATTTTTAAAAAGCTTCTCTTTAATAACCTACTAGAGTAAACAAAAACTACTTTTCAAGTACGCCAGTACAATACTTGAGTAAGAAAAATGTCAATAAGAATTTGAAAGTAAGATTTAGAGCAAATAGTTTGCTTTGGAGAAGTACCCATAATATATAATCTCAAATATTTTGAAAGCAATTTACCTAAACTAGCATTAAAGGAATAAAAAATAAGTCCATTCCCTACCTAAATGCAAAATAGAAGAAAACCTAATAATTCTATAAGATGATTATAATAAAGTTTATAAGTATTAAAAGGATATGCTTTGGTTCTTTTAAAAGAGATATCTTCAGTCTCATGTTTCCAGTTCCAGCAAATTTTTAAAATATCACTTGGACTGTATTCACTGTAAAAATAAAAGGAGAAAAAAAATGTCAGCATTAAAAACAAACCTATGTGCACAAAAACAACAACAACAAAAACCAACTATCTTTGAATCCCAAGGAGCATCACAGTACCTATAATTCTTCTGGCATCAAATACATGGATAACGAAGAAAAAAACCAGTGGGTATGACAATCCTGCCATGAGATGATATAAACCCTAGGGCTGAACCACAGGGTTCTCTGTAACTTGCCAGAGAGACATCTGCTAATCCAGAATACCACTAAATAAATCTGTTGGGTAAAGAAATTCCAAAGGCTGTCCTGAGGCCAAATCAAAAGATTCTTCAAACTGGGAACTTATCAATCATTTGATCCCTCTAATGAATATGAATTAAATTTTTAAGGTCTGATGGAAGGCTAACCTACATTTTTAAGGGCCTTAATCCTACACATGGAAATAATACAACGTTATCAACCTAGTGCCTTAATCTGAAGCTCAATCTGTTATGAGAAGATACACTGCCCAAGAGTTACAGCTACCATAGTGGCAATGTGGAAAATCAAGTGAATTGCTTAAGAAAGAGGTAATAAATTGCTTGTAAAAGCTATGTAAGGCTGGATGCAGTCATGCACACCTGTATTCCCAGAGGCTTGGGAAACTGAAGCAAGAGGATCACAAGATTGAGGCCAGCCTGGGGAACTTAGCAAAACCGCATCTCAAAAAATAAAAAGGGCTAAAGAGTAACTCAGTGGTAGAGTGCCCTGGATCAATGCCCAGTGCCACCACCAAAAAAGAAAAAAAAAAAAAAAAAAAGTTATATGAACTGAGTGTGGTGGAACACACCTATAGTCCCAGCTACTTAGGAGGCTGACACAGGATTATCTCTTCAGCCCAGGAGTTTGAGGCTAGACTGGGCAACATAGAGAGATCCTATTTTAAAATAAAAGAAAAGAAAAAGAAAGAAAGAAAGTTGTGTAAAAAAATCATAACTTAATTGCCAAAGGAAAACTTGGAAAAAAGAAAATTAACACTCCCCAAATAACCATTATCATCAAAAGATCATAAGTGAAAAAAAAAATGCTAAATTATCTGAGCACAATTTACATTTGCAGAATTCTTTCTTAGTAACATCACAACCTAAATAGAAAAAAAAAAAATCAAATTAAAGCTCCATTAAAAGGAAGAAAAAAAAAATCTCCTTAACAATTTCAAAACTAACTGATAACTCCATCAAAGAAGGTGCTTACTATAAATAATATTGAATTCCATAGGCCTCCTTTAGATAATTTCTCATTCTCCTTAATCCAGGAAGGCTTTTTTATATCAGCAAGGTGTAAATACAGCTATATGCCAAAGCACTCTTTTTCACTTCTCTCTCTCACAATTTTCTCTGGATGATTTTCTTGAACTTCAAAAGTATGAAAGTATGGTGGCACAACTAAAGCTAGAATATAATCAATACCAGGCATACTTCCCAGATTCATTTTTTGGTCCTCAGGAGGTATCCACCTTCCTCAAAATTCCTTTTCCACTTCCATCAGAGCTCCAAAGAATGATAATATTTTCTACAGACCTGCTTCTTCATAATAATTCAAATTTATTCAGATTACAAAATTTTTTTAAAAAATAGAGGAAAAAATTGTTGCTTCTGGAAATAATAAAATGTTAGACAAGGAAAGATATGTAAAACATGAATATAATGTTACTATCAGAAGATCTGACAAAGGCATGATGATTTTACATCAGGAAACCTCAAACTTCTGATTCTGTCATAATTTCTCTCCAGAAGAAATCATAATACCTTTTACACAGTAAAGGCAGTATGGTCTTTATAAGAAAGGACTAACCAACCATTCAGAAACATGGTTCCAAGAAATTAGAGAAAAAGGAAGGTTACTTCCTAAGACTGGGAAGATTCTCCCTTGTTTAGAAATATCTTCCCCATACATTCCATTTAGCGCAGATCATTTGTGTGAATAACATGTGTGTTTTGATACTGGATTGAATAGAAGAATAAGGAAAAAGTAATAGTATAGCACAGCCAATTCAAGGAACAGCCTAAATGCTGTATTGAGGTATTTCTATCTGCCCAAAGATATTGGTCACCTAGGGTCTAAATAAGAAATAGTACTGGAGTGGTGGGGTGGGGCAGATAATAGAAAAATTCCAAGGCATATATAACTTTATAACTTTACATCAGGAACAGCAACTAGGCCTTTGATACTAAAAATCATTTAAAAGTTGTCTTCAGCCCCATGTAGGTCAACATTTATGAGGCTTGACATGAAAAATATGCCTACCAAAATCTGATAGTCCATCCAACCACCAAAATACACTCCAAATCTTCTCAGCACCTCAACTATAGTTCAAAGCCACAATCTTTCCCTGTCTTAATTACTGCATTAGGCCCAGAAGTGATCTTTCTGCTCCTACATTTAACCACTTCAAATTCTTCTAAAAACACCCCAGCAATGCTATTAAGGCTAACTCAGAACACAAAGGCCAGAATGGCTAAAACACAGTAAATAAAGATACTAGCAGGAAATTAAGAAGGAAACAGGGACACAGATCATATAGGGTCTTGGAAGGTCACAATAAAATCTTCAATTTTCCTTCTGAATGAATTTAAGAATCCAGTAGAGGGGTTATGAACAAAGGAGTTATGTGATTATATAAAGGTCATTACAGAATAACACAAGTCAGGCACAGTGTTGCATGCTGTAAAACCCACTATTTCAGAGGCTAAAAAAAGAGGATTGCAAATTTGAGGCCAATCTGGGCAACTTGGTGAGATTCTTTCTCAAAATTTA